CAAGAAATCTTCCATCCGTCTCGCATTTAAATCATCAGCGTCCTCTAGATGAATATTAAAATCACCAGCTATCAACAACGGAACGTTATTCACAATCAGTCCCTCAACCACATGACTCAGTTCGTCAAAGAACAGCTTGTCAGCACCTTTTGAGCCCGGACGATATATCGCCGTCAGAATGACTGGTGTATTTGCCATCGAGATCTGGTCGCATAAACACTCAAACGATGTTAGTTTTGGAATATCCAACCGCCTGAGGGAGTACACATCCTTAACCATAACAATCAAACCACCATGAGCTGGATCAAATTTCCTGACGGCATCAACGTACCCATAGCCTGGTGGCAAAGAAGAATTTACCGAATCATCATTTGACGCTCTGTGCCATGTTTCTGTAATTTTGTTATGCAACTAGGCATCATAGATTACCACTGACTTGTTTAACAACGACCTCACATTGAGCAAACTAAGTTTCATCATGGTATTATCTCTATTTTTATCAACATCATCGTCTTCTGTAGAAAATTTTTTTAACTTTAAGCAATAGCTGTTTGTTACCAGATTATTTCTTGGAAACATTTTCTTCCTAGGATTCCAGAGTTTTAACGAGAAAAGTTTTTTACGTATCCTTCTATTAGGTTTCAGGTTATTATTGAGCTGCAGCAATTGTTCAACAGTGTACGTTAATTTATTTACATCCATATTGATCAGTATAGTTTATTAAAATCAGTCTGTTTAAAACTTTAATTCAGATCAACAACTTACAATTTAAAAACTATGACTATTGAGATAAATTAAAATTAGTTTAGAATTATTTTAGAATTATTAGTTTAGAATTATTTAGGAGCTATATAAACTAATTTTCCAATCAAACTCAACTTTTAACCAAAAATGTATTACTACACTGAGAGCCTGTTACACTTGCTCATTAACATAATTGACTCCGCCTACAAAATGTCCACTTAAACAATAAACCTTTAAAACTCCCAAAAACAGTTTAACGCAAGACCAAATTTAGGTTTACAACTGATTAATCACTAGAAAACCGATTTTTAAAATTTTATTTAAACTTTTGAAGAGCAAAAACGACATAGAAACACCAACATTCCAACAATTAAGCACACTTTACGTAACACGACTTGTCAGATAAACAAGCGCAATAAAATATATGGCAGCGTACCGGGCAAGCGTACATTCGGCGACAGGGTTTACCCCAAATAGGTTATTTTTAGGGAGAGAAAACATGATGCCAGTGGATCTGGTGTATCGATTACCTAAAGAATCCAACCTTGGTGAAACTTACCATGAATTTGTGAAACAAGTGCTCAACCGGTCATTAGTAGCTCATCAATTGGCGCGGGAAAGGTTAAAGACAGGGGCACTTAATAGGAAGTCATTGTATTATGCTAAGGTCAAAGTCCTGACTCTACGACCGGGAGACAAGGTATGGTACCTGTATCCAAGATCATGGCAAATCTCCAAAATGGGTCAGCCCATACATGGGTCCATATATAGTGGATCATTTAATTCCTCCAGTCAATGCGGCGATAAAAAAAACGACAGAGCTAAACCGTTTGTCGTCCACATAAATAAATTAAAATTGATTTGTTGATTAATTTTCGTTAATTTATTCACATTTTTTTTAGGTAGGATGAAAGCAGCAAATGTGGGAGAAGGATGTTGACACGCAACCACAAGAGACAGGTGCTCTGGAGCGGGAAACAGCGCATCAGATAGCCAGCTAGTGTCACTGGGACGGGCAATCCCGTATTTAAAAAACAGTACACCGGAGAAAGCGGTCAACGCTTTGAAATTATCGTTCCCGGGTATTCCGTCAAGTGAATTATGGAAAAATTACGTAGTCGCAAGGGCATCAATGAGTGAACTGGTCGCAGCATTGACCCCGAGCTTCTCACTTAAAAATTGTGCTGAGGAACCGACACAACGAAAAAGACAGGCAAGCGAAGCTAAGTGGTGGGTGAACCAGTTTATAGCTTTTGAACTGCCCGATGAAGCCCACCAAGAAACATCACTGGGGTCAGTGCCTATGTCGAGTCACGTAGAAGTAGCGGGCGAAAGCTTGGTCGACACACCATGCTCAACTGCCAGACCGTCGCTGGTGGACTAGATACTGGAAGGCCAGGTTTACGAGGGCGAGACGCCCTTCCCTGTAGACCAGGCTTCGACGATAAGCACTCCAGAGTGGGCAAAGGAAGACAGCGACATACTCCCAGCAACAGGCCCAGCTGTACCGAGAGGTAAGAAGGGAAGAAAGAAGCCGTCCAGATGGGGCCCGGAATTGATGGCGATCAACATCCCCAGTTTCGACGAGGAGCTTTGAAAGCAAACGTCGGGGCGACGTTCGATGGGGTGGGGGATGTTGTGAGGTTTTTTAGCGCGCATGTGGAATGAATGGCGCAAGTGTGTATGTTGGCGCGCATGTTGTGGTCAGGTGAGCAGTCTGGTCGAATGTCGTATGAATTGGTTTTGTATGCAGGTTGGTTGAATGTTGGTATGGCGCA